GAGATTCTACTGTACATTGCATGCTTCATCCGACCATTGTAGTTTGTGAGTTGAGAAAGTACCACGTTGCACCGGTGTTAAGAGCAGTAATTATGATGCACATCTCAGCATTAGTACAATGTGAGATCATGGTATTGTGTACAGTGGTAGTAGCACTTAGCATTAAGTGCTATTAGTAGCACTACATTTTTTTATATGTAATGCATTAGTGATTGCAAGGCTTAGTTCCTGTACATGCTGATTTGCCAGCGTACTATGCCAGTTTTAAGTCAAGACATGCGAGGAGGATTAACGCTTGCTAGAGGCATTGCTTTATGCCAGCTGTGTGTTTTATGAGTATTTAGGCTTAATCTTCAACCCATTCCATAACACGATTGGCATGTAACATTTTCCTCTTTTTTTCCCATTTTCTTCACCCCAACAAATAAAGGGAACTTTTGTACGTCTAGAAAATTTACATGAAAGAGACCCTACACAGCACTGCGTGCTGTACATTAAGATGTATCTTTCATGATACAGGGTGTGTGGCCACGTAAAAAAGTGTACATAATGTGCTATTGCGAGTTTTCCACTGAGGGAAATGTTCTTCAAGATCATGAATAACACATCAGTGCGGCTGGAGTGATATAAAAGTAGGTTTGTGTGAATAGTAAATTTTAGGTTCGAAGCGAATGCAATATGAATAGGGAGTGGTCCAATAATTTTGAATCGAATTTGGATAGTATGCCGCATATTATAATGAAAAGTGGGCTTACTTGTTATGACCCAACTAACATGCACAATACTTAAAAAAAATGCTAGTAGGCCTGGGAAAATGCCTTTCTTTTTGGTTCAAAGGAAGTGGAAACAGTTTTGAATAGTACTAGCAGGATTTGAGTTTTGGTAAAATGCAGGTGATAAGCTGTAAAAAAATATATTAAGTTTTAACATTTGAAATACTCGTAGCATATAAGCCGGTATAACAAGCTTTTGGACTTAAAAATGATAAATCGATGCAAGGTTAAAATGTTTATTTAACCTTGAAGTGGGGCTTCACGCCAATGCAAATTATTTTCGCGGCTTAGCACTCTTTAACTGCAGTGAAACCACCTTTACAGTAGGTGACATGTGGGCTAATATACAATTAAATAGGTGCTTTCACAGCTTCGTACCTCTACACTACTGTGAAACCTTCTTTACAGAGGATATATGCAGAATAACATACATCTGTTTGTTTATTTTGAATACTTTGAAATTTACAATAACTTAAATTTGAATTGAAGCAAATTCAAGTACAGTAATTCAGTACAACCTCGTAGATACACTTTCGGGAGAAAAAAAACACGGAAAATAAACGTACAATCTGAGAAAATGTATGATCCGAATCCAGCCCAAAATGAGGCTGACAATTTCATATAGAGTCAAGGTGCAACATTGCTTCCACAATGGAATAGGAAAGCGGAGTGGCCATAACACAAAGTGTAGTTGGCATCAGGCTCTCAATATTCAATCAGTGTAATGATCTGTGGCTCTGTGCCATCATTTCATGCCACAAGACTACCAAAACTATTCCTGCTAAACCGAGCTTTGTACAGGCTCATTTGGCATTATTCTTCACTGTTTGACTCTCTTGTGCACAGTGCGCTGGGTTTAAAATGTTATAACGTTCTGCAGTTTCCGCCATCTAGATTGAAAGGCTGATTCATACGGAGACCTAAAGGGACGCTGATAATATATTGCTGTCATTGCACAGTTGACTGGTTTTTTAAGCAAACAAGAAAAGCTGTAACTTGTGCTAAGTAGCAATATATTTCTCCAGTCCCGACATTTGTATTGTTAAAAAACGATCCACAATGCAATAGCCACTTTTGCACAACGAGCACTGCATTCCATGCTATAGATGTATCTGTGAGATAGTGCTATTGTTTTTATTATTAATTTCATGTTATCATGTATCAGATTCATTTTTGTCAGACAGGCTCCACACAACTTTCTCTGTCATTTGAATTAATAATTGATGGTACTTTTTTCTATTATTTCTTGTTCTCAGACTTTTTTTTTCTAATGTGCCCTCATTAGCATGCTGGGAACTACACGAGCCGATGGTAAACGGTTAAAAAAAAAGGTTGTAGAACCTAGGCGAAAAATTCTCCCAATTGGTAGTTAGGGCTCCTGCATGCATGTTAAGCAAATATTATAGCATTGCAGGGTTCAGGAAATGCTTAAATAATTACAAGGACAGGTAGAAATTGCCAGCTTTTTTCTGAGCAAATTATGTCATTAACCAAATAGAGGGAAGGACGTAGACCTTGGATGATTTGACGATAGGGAGAACACGCTCATGGTCACATGTGCTAATGAAGTTTTTTACCTCGTTATCTCCCCCATGTAGCTTCTAGTGCACCCATCAGAATACATTTACAAAAAAAATGTTCTGGAGCCGTGTAACAAATTCCTGAAGGTATGCTTGTATCTAAAGGGGCCCTGCAACACTTTTTCATGTAGCCATGGAACAAATTCACCAGTGGAGCCTATTGCCTTACAAATTTACCGCCACAAAAATTTTTTAATTTGTCGATTACTAATGGAGTTAAAGATTTGTCACACGCTGCAGTTGCATTCTGCATTCTCTCGTACCAATGAAGGCGCTGGAAGCTAAGCAGGAAGGGATAGTACGGGGAAAGAAAATACGTCACGGATGCCTCGTGATTATGAGCACTTTTTCCGTTTTTTTTTTTACCTTTCTTCGGATACACAGCTTTTCAGTGACTGCTCATGCCTGCATGGACAAGTTACGGCCTTTGGCAGCAGCCTTTGTAAAGAACGAGCACGCCATGCTACAATTAGCCTATGGCTTGTACGATAGCTGGGACGAGTGATTTTTGAGCTTTTAGAGTTATTTGTCGAGAGAAGAGAAAGCATTTTTACTTGCCTTTGAGAATTTTGCGGCTGTGTGTTGGTGCAATAATATTTGACTCGCATGTTATTAGGAGCCTCGACTACCGATCGGCAGGGCCCCTGTAACCTGCTTTGCCCTGAATTTTTTTCACCAACAGAAATTTTTGTTTCCTGTTGATTCGGCTGTACTACAACTTCAAGAGCACGAACATTTCTTCCGAACACCCCATCAGCACTGAAGAAAAATGGCGCCATGTCCTCTATATAGGACACCAGGGCTTAATGGTTGTAAAGTGAAATAAGGTGATCTGTTTAGTACTTGAATAGTAATTCTGTTTACTTTTACCGTGTAAGCTTGTGTATTCGTTGTAATATTTAGCATGTAGCAACTACGTGTTTGTGACCTTGCCTAAAAGGTTCAAAGGAAGATTTTGCGCTCGTGGTACACAGCTCCTCGCAGCACTTCAATAGTCGTCACCTAATTATAAGACATTATGCAAGATCCGGCATTGTAAAAGATTGCCGCATCTTGCTTTGTAGGGCGAAAACTATTTCCACTCATGTCTACATGGGCAAGCTGATTGAACTGCACTTCATCTTTCTCATCTTCTTAGCTCCATCACGCGCCATTCGTATATTGCAGAAAACAAATTCAAAATTATTACGTACTATCTCGCTATTGGAGACCCCTTACATATTATCGAAGCAGTGTGGGCAGGTTTCTACACAACAATAACAAGAAATCGGGAGCTGTCGCAACAGGTACAGCTCAGGATTAGCCTGAATGCATTCGGAGCTTTTACAACCACTGAGCCCTGGTGTCCTAAGTTTAGGACATGAGGACTCTTCATTGTGTCCTCCATTTGTAGGCCCGTGTGTTAAGATTTGGGTGCACCTTAAAGAACCCCAGGTGGTTGAAATTTTTGGAGCCCTGCACTACGGCATCTCTCAAAATCATATGGTATTTTTGGGACGTTAAACCTCGCATATCAATCAGTCGACCCCACATCAATCATCATCAAGGCTCTCCGTTGCTTCGCCTGATGCATTAGTATTAGGGAAGACCGACTTTGTAAATTTGAACGTATTCCTGAAAAAAATAGGGTAGCTACTAACATAACAGCTTATCATTAAGATGTCATCAAATATCCGGTTGCGTGAGTGTCGTCTTTTTGGCATTCCGCCATCTTGCTTTCCACTTTGCATAGTTTAAAAAAACATCAAAAAAATTACTACCTACGTTTGCGCAGGTGTATTGAGGATATTTCAGATGCCTCTTTGAATTGCTGAGTTGATTATGTTGCAATGGGCAGTGATATCCTTCGTGTCTTTTGTATAGGACGCCAGCGCCGAAAGGGGTGAAAGATCCAAATATTTCATGCGACAGTACTGTGCTGGGAAGGTCATACAATGATTACATGGAAAACTGTTGCAGGCTTCTTTAAATTAAAGGGCCAGTTAACAATCCTGAGGTCTAAAGTTTGTAATGACGAGATAACTGCACACTTGCTCAGTGGGAACATGCTGCCGCAAAAACTTTATGAATAAATGCTGCAATAAAGAAGTCGCAGCGGATAGAACAACTCTTTTGTGGCTGCTTTGGTTTCCTTCGGTGTCTTGCTCAGCCTCTCCACCCTTCTCCAGCACCAATAGGGGTAGGCGTAGCCTCTTGTCGCGGCTCCCTACTACCAATTTGACAATGGAATACATGAGCAAGTTCGTTTCCCGCAAGAATGATGACTCCTATGTGGATAGCATTATAGAAAATTTACTAATTGCTCTTTTTCTTTAATTCTTGTGGAGAGCAAACTCCCTTGCGTGCTTTTCTTAAATTTCAGTAAATGAATACGTGTTATCATGGTCGAGTGCATGCATGGATGGCATGCACTCGAGCATGGGCAATTCTGTATATTTCTACCCACATGTTCCTTCGAAATGAAATTCAGTTATTAGTTAGCACTTGTCTTCATGTGTCCCTTCTTCGTATGTGTCTCTGAGTGCGCTGTAACCTATTATGGATCTTTGCCAACTAGCCCAGTCAAAAACATTGGCACGTTGAAGAACACCAGATGGTCGAAATTTTATCTCTTAGAACTTGTCATAATGCATTATGCATATCACAGATGCCGGCTTCAACAATGTCAAGCAGGGAACTCGTTGCGAAGTTTCTTGATGCCAGCAACTTGAAGACTTCATACGAACCTGATCAAGAGTTTGCTGATCCTTGTGCAACCATGGGTGTTTCTCAGTCATCAGAAGACTTTTGGCAAGTTGACTTCATGAACATTAATTGCATTGCCTGTTGGTGTTTCTATAATTTTACTATGTTTTTTTGCTTTAGTAGTAGAAGTAAACAGCAGCTTACTTATTTTTTTCTACTAGTACTCAAGTTAGATTGTTAGGGGGTTTGTGATAACAACACTGACTGTATTCAGTAATGGCATTTAAGTGGGCAGACTGGTCTTAAACACTTTTTTGTTTATTTCTTCAGTGATCTTGATCAAACTACACAGCATTATGCAGTATTTTCTGGTGAATTGAAATATTTAATTAGTTTTTCTGTAACTCAACTTGTTCCTGAGATAACTTAAGTTCACCCCTAATTGTTTCAGGCTGCCATAGAAAAAAAAGTGCTTATTTAAAAGTGATGTTTAAGATATACCAACATAGACTAATGACTGTAGATTGAAAGTATGCAAGAGTTTTTTTTTGTTTGTTTTTAGGTCTTTTGTGGTTATTTTACAGCAATATGAACTATTCATTTTAAAAAGCAGTTGGAATAGTGTTACAATTTTGATGAGTAATTAATTAAAAAGACTTGGGCTTTGATTTATGCTCCCATACTTGTATTCTACACACATACAGGCATCCATTGCAAAAAGAATTATTGTTGTACCAGCCATAGCTGCAGAGATATTGAGGCCTATAAATTGAACCGTCGTAAATTTACTTTTTTGAGAAAAATGGGAAAAACTGAAAACACACAGCTTCTTCAAAAAGCAACAATAATGGTGTGCATGTTTTGCAATCGTCATAAAGGTGCTGGTAAATTTGTAGCAGAGCTTCTAACACAGGTGCTGGCAAATTATAAGAAAGCCCGGAAGTCGGTTCTCCATTTTATTGCAGGTTCTGCATGTTAACAGCACCAAGAATCTGCACAGGTATAATCACGTTACAAAAAAATGACCTCTTCCTGGTGTGTGGAAATTTGCAGAGAGATTGAAAAACACTTGCAGAAACCAAATATGTCAATTTTTGAAAAATGAATTTTTTTGTCACTTTTTGGTTCCAAAGACCAGTCTGCCCCCTTAAAACATGCTTTTGGAGAAAACAGTATTGTCAACACAGTAGATCAAGTAGAGAACAATACAGTAAGCACCTGAACTGAACGATCATCTCAAAAAGGTGGTGCTGCCATACTTTGAGGCTATAAGAAGCCTGCTGTAGTCTTCCTCTGTGTGCAAGGACCATACCTGCCAAGTCTCCCGGATTGGCCTGGAGACTCCCGGATTTCGACTGCTTTTTCCGGTGGTACGATTGTCTTGAAAATTTCCCGGAAGTTTCTGTGCGTGATCTGGCTGCATTGACAAAAAAGCAGCTTATTCCGCTCCAGGCTTTTTGAACCTACCCCATTTTATTATACCCTCAAACCTAGTTATAACGAAGTTGAAGGGGAGCCACAATTATCTTGTTATATTCATTATTTCATTATATCAATTATAACAGTTAGGGGCAATGTATGCTCAGATGGGCGCACACCTATAAGCATGCAAAGAAAGAAACCGCCTTGCGGCCCGATGCACCGCTACGTGACCCCGCGCGCCACGGAAAATAAACTCAGTCGAATCTCATTAACTCGAACTTTCGGGTAATTCGAACTCACACTGAGGTCCCGTCAAAGCTATGTGTATTCCAATGGGCGAAAATGCCCTGTAATTTTAATGCGCAACCACTTGCGATGGTTAATTCGAACATACCGCGCTCCGAAAAGGCTCTCAGCACCATGCCCGATCCAGCGGCGGCACCTCTCGGCGCTGCTTGCGAAGAAGGGGAAAAAAAAAGGAAAGAGACTGTGGCTGATTGTTTGCTCTCTCTGAAATGCCGATCTGCAACGCGCCTATTCCACGCTTCTCCCTTTTCCGTCTCTGCAGGTAGACACCCTTTTCCTTTCAAGGCCGCGGATGGAGAGAGAGAAAAACAAAGAAACTGTCGCGGGGAGTCCTCCTTTCTCGATGCAGAGGGTAGCAGCCATAGTAGCAGCGAAGACGCAGTCATTGCCGTCGTGAGAGGGAAATTGCCTTGCACCGTGGCGCCGCTTCTAGGTCCTGTGACGCGCTCAGCACTTCCTCAGTCCTCTCCGCTGGCTGTGTGAAAAGCCATGCCCCGCGCTGTCGTTCACGCGGGGCATGGCTGTAAGGTCAATGCAGGAGTTTTGAAAGAGCCGCGCCAAACGAGTGTCAAACTCCGCTGAAAACGATATACCTAACACACTACGGTCGGTTCTTTCTTTTTTTTTATCGACTAATTTAGTTCGTTGCAATTCATCCCCTGATTTACTCAGCAATGCAATGTCATCGGCAAAGCGCAGGTTACTAAGGTACTCTCCATTAACTCTTATCCCTAACTGTTCCCATTCTAGGCTTCTGAAAACCTCCTGTAAGCACGCGGTAAATAGCATTGGGGAGATTGTGTTACCCTGCCTTACACCCTTCTTGATTGGTATTCTGTTGCTTTCTTTATGAAGCATTATGGTAGCAGTTGATCCCATGTAGATTTCTTCTAGATGTTTATATATGCTTCATCGACGCCCTGATTCAGCAGTGTCTGTATGAGGGCTGATATTTCTACTGAATCAAACGCCTTCTCGTAATCTATGAAGGCTATGTATAGTGGTTGGTTATATTCTTAGCATTTCTCTATTACCTGATTGATAGTATGAATGTGGTCGATTGTTGAGTAGTCTGTTCGAAATCCTGCTTGTTCCTTTGGTTGATAGAATTCTAATGTTTTCTTTACTCTGTTAGCAATTACCTTGGTAAATAGCTTGTATACTACAGAGAGCAAGCTGATCAGCCTGTAATTCGTCAAGTCCTTGTCATCTCCTTTCTTATGTATTAAGATGATACCACTCTTCCAAGACTCTGGTACTCTTCCCGTCAGGAGACATCTCGTAGACATCTCGTGGCCTCTAGGGGCGTGTCAGTCAAGAGTTATTCAAGATCTGCAACTATACACGACTATTTCAGAGGCTATGCAAAATGTCGAGTTGTTGCACCATCTGCCATAGGCAACGCTAAAGACGGACAGTCATTTAAAATGAAGGAGGGAAAGGGTGTGGCAGCTGTTTTGGTTCTGACGCAGCAGGCATCTAAATAGAGGAGGCGTCTAAACATACAGTATAATCTTAGTGATGCGAAGCCGCAGCAGATACGAATTCTTGAATTTCCACAGCGAAATTTTACTATGTTCATTGGGCCTCAATTCGAATGTTCCGAACACATTTCCTTATCACAGTTGGTGATACTTTGGTACAAACTTTGGTACGGAAACCGTCGAACAAAGGTCGAGAGCAGCGTACTCGAAGCTTCAGAAGTACGCATGCGACCGGCGCACGCACTGTCTTCTACAGTGCGTGTGATTGTCACGATCATGCATGGTGACATGATCATGTATGGCGACGACGTAACTGACAGAACCCCGAAAGTGTGCGCTCAACCAGTCAAAGCAATGCTGCTTTTTGCAAACTCTGCGGACAAAACTGCGGCAGATGCTATCGTAGATGGCATAAAACGCCTTAGTTTTGAAGGCGCATGTGCAGCCAAGCGCATGGGGATTGTAAAGGGAACTACTGTTTGTCGCCAATCGCCGCGCACAAAACCGCGGTCGTGGCGACGCGAGAGCAATCTACGAGCTCAGAGGGCACGCAGCGGTACGTTAAAAGCAGTAAATACGTAAAAAATGAAAGAAAGTTGCAGTTTTGCCGCAAGGGCGAAGCAATAAATGCGACAGCAACAACTTGGAATGTAACGCTAAGAACGGCAAGCAGATCAAAACGTGCAGCGCACTGCTCACACACAAATGACGCACAAAAATGATATTCGCTGGACGAGAGCATTTAAGATGCATTTTTTTACACTGTTGTATGTTGTACACTATTTTTATGTCAATAAAACTCAATTCGATTCAACAACGTTTACCACTCTACACATAACGCGCTGTTTAAACAAAAACGATGCACGATACGCAATCACAGACACCGATGAGTACAAATTAACAAGTGTCCTAGGTGTTATACCTCGCTGTGTGTGAAAAGCGCGCTGTTTTCGCAAAAGGGGCCTGCGGCCCGGCAACTAACGCTTTTTTTTTTTTTTCAGTGAAAGCCGAAAAAACACAATACCCTTTGCCTTCCCCCCCCCCCCCGCCCATCCATGGGGCAAAGTACACCTGAGAGATCAGACGATAGTTATAGCGCGAGAACAGAACGACGATACAAAGACAAGGAGGACACGAGCATTCTGTGTCGTCGTTCGTTGTAAACAGGGTGGCTAGGAAGGTTGGAGGAAGCTGTCAGAATGCACAGAAGGAGCTCTTTAAGATAAAGGGCAATGAAGGGCTCCTTGCATAAGGTAAGAAAATGGTTTGAGATAAGGAGCGTTTCGGTATACAGGCCCCTGACTAAGAGTTAGCCTGAGTTTAATTGAGTATGGATGAGTAATCTTTTCGTGAGATTGCGTTTGGTTTCATGAGCGAGTCCGAGTGAGCTCCTCATTGTTTTGTCAATGTCTTTTCCACCTGACTCGGCTTTAGAATTACTGTCAGCCTTATGTCGTCTCACGTTTATACAGTTAAACCTGCTTATAACAAACCTTCATATAACAAATTTCTCGATATAACGAAGTTTTTCTATTCCCCACCGCTGCTTTATAAAAGCACATGTATTTGCAAACTCTATGTAACGAAGTAACCGTGAGACACACTGTTGATATAAAGAATTTTCCCCACGAATGATCTACGAATTTTGCCCCAGATTTTGTCATTTTGGTGCGAGCATTCATTTTTTGCGGGCGCCCCGCCGCCGAACGGCGCGCTCGTGGCCTCGGCGACAACCGGGCAAGAGCGAGCACTCTTTAATTCGGGCGGGTGAGTGCAATGCAGGCAGGCAGGCTTGTACCCCAGGAGTCAGCGTTGCTGCCGTTCTTGCCGCCGCAAGCGCATACCGGATTTGCCTCTCTCTTCTAAACAAAAAAAAAGCTACTTGTGTGTTTGCAGTTCCACGCCTTTATTAGCGTCCTATATGTGGTGCCGCGGAGGGCACTTTACCAAATAGTGTTCCGCGGTATCCGTGTCGTTCGCTTTTCATTTTCAACGCCGTGCGTGCATGCATGGTTTCACTGCGCACGCCTGGTGTGATCCCGACGACGTTTAACGTTGCTTTATTTAATAATTATGCGGACTACTGTGTCGTCACCACCGAGGGGAAGTCAGATTAGGCGCTTATGGAAACTCTCCGATATCATGGTGACAACGGATCTTCAGAGGTCAACTCTTCACGCGCTTCCATCTTGCTCCGCGAGTCGCAGGCTCGTAGCTTTCGCGATTAGCCGATTAGTTCTTGAAACAATGCGGTGGCGCGTTGAATGCAATGCAATTAATGTGATAGCAAAAAATTGTGTTATAGCAAGTAAGGCTGGCAGCCAACTTTTTTGGATCCGATATCGTTGAACTCCTACAAAACGCTGGTGTGAGCGAATAAGGCCGCTCCAGGGAGAAGTCTTCTTTCCACGCAGTCTCTTCGCGGTGAAAGTGTACTGATGCTTGCCGAGGCAGCACGTGTGTGATTGTAACTGCAACCCTAAAATCAATGTCCACCATTGCTACTCTCGAGCGACCCCCCCCCCCCCCCCTTCTCCGCCTTTTCTCATGCTCGTTCAAGACGGATGGACGGATGTTTCCTTTCTGTTTGAGCATTGTCGACAATTATAACAAGCGGGGGATGTTATTGTATGCACTTTCCAGGCGATAGAGATGGGCCGACTCATTTGATCTCTGCTTCAACAGCGCTCGTGCGCTATTGCCCGCTCGTGCAAGTTACGACGCACGGCGGCATGTTATCAATTGAGACTTGTGACGTAACATGGCGTCGATGGCAAAAACCTTCAGTGTCTATATAATTGCTATCGCAATAGTAAAGCAATTTTTCCCGCTAAATAAGTGTTTTGGGCTAGTTCTGCCTTCAGTCCGCTTTTTGTTGAATTAGTGCATTTATTTTCTGAATTTACGTACTGAATCTGATTAAGAAAATCCTTTTTATAACGAGTTTTTCCGGGAATTCGTCAATTTTGTTGTATCCAAGTTTAACTGTGCTAATTATATCTACTCACAAATTAGTGTAGTAGCATTCGTACGCCAGCTTAATATTAAACAGATTCATGAGTTTTACAGAGGGGGATGGGAGGAGTTGGCTTGATCTACCCACGTTCTTTTTCATAGGAAGGTCTTGTTAAAACATCTTGTGCGAGTCACCACGTTCAATAAAAATGTCCATCGTAGATTGCAACCACTGATAACTTGTATTTAAAGATAGAAGATCAAAAGCACAGAGTAGAGCGCTTATTATGTGAGATATCGCTGTTAAAAAGTATAGACACTGTGGATGAAACAGCTGATAATACACTAATGAACTCGTGAGTCCAAGTGAATATTTTGGTGAGTTTGATTCCGATTCAAGGCTGTTTTAGGCATTCTGAGTCTGAGTAAGCTCTATATATTTTGCCGACCTATTGTAGTAGGTTGTCCCGGCCATCGCTGAGGTCAACATATCATGGTGCTGCACCTCTGGACCTAGCACTCCTTGCTGTCTTCACCCATGATACGCTGGCGTCTTTAACCTTCTGTGAACAGTGTCCCACAAACAATTCCCTTTCTTCTCCGGCGTTTCTTTTGTCATGGCTCAGGTCGCATGCCACGAGCCCGTCACAGACCAATCGCATGCGTAAGTGTGGTAGCACGAGTGCATGCCATCGAGTACTTTCCCGTGCCTCGCATGCCATTGGAACTTTTCATCGTTGCGCACGTGGCTTGACCCCTTTATTCATGACAGGTGGTGAATTCGAGCGCCTTTTTTTTTTTTTTTTCAAAGGTGTGCTGCTTACTTTCAATGTGATTATGAGATTGTACAGGCACGTACGACCTCCTGAAGAAGCTGTAATAACTATGCAGCCCACAATGCTCAAATCAGCTAGTGGCCATAAATTCATTTGGTTAGTGGTCATAAATCCATAAATCAGCTAGTGGCCAAAAAGATCATTTCTAGAAAAAGAAAAAAATGATTTCTAGCTTAATCTGAGAATAATGAAATATTTCTGGCTACATGCTGTGCTGTAACGTTTGACTGTTATGTTTTCGGGGCTCTCAACTACCGATTTACAGTGTATTTTAACAGGCTGAAAAAATCTTGCTGTGGGCCCCTTTGTATCAGTGTTCAATAGTAGTGTTCTGTGGCTTGTTCTACTATAAAAATTTCACTTATTTATGCGTCTTTGATTCTTTTTTTAAACTTTTCATTTATTTTTTTTTCCAACAACAGGAGGACAGATGTCTTTTCTGAGCTATCGGCAGACCTGGACCCATGTGCACAGTTCCAGAGTCCTATTTACTTCAAGACCGGTCATGTAAGTTCGCAGGCTTGAATTGGAGGAAAATGTAAAAATGCTGAAGTAAGGGTAACAGGTCTACTGCAACAAAAGAAATTAAAAGGGACACGATATTGATACACTGCTACACTAGTACTGTGACGACTTGCTCATATCATTTGTCGTCGTATGTGTTTTGTTTTTTTTAATCACTATGAATAACCAATTCACCTAGCTATAAAGGGGTCGTGAAACGAAAGGGAAGTGGCCAAGTTGTACTTTTTCTGGTTAAATAAGGATTAGACATGCAGATTCGAAAATGTTTTGACTCAAATCTTGTCTATAATTAATGTCCGTTTGAAATCGCAGTTTTCTTGGACACCTAAACAATCGTGCGGCACTATTGCCTGCCATATGCACTAGCCTTTGATGTCAGTGAAATATGATGGTTAGAGAGGTTATAAGCAGACTGTTAGCATTTTTATGCTCCAAATTTATAGGTTTATATAAACCTAGGAAAATGTCTTCCATAATCATATGGTTTTGGGACATTAAACCCTACATATCATTATCAGGAACCTAGCAAAGAAAAACAAAATTACCAGAATTTTGCACTATGAGCTGTGTATACTGTCAGTGATGCGATAGCTTCGCCAGTTTCGCCAAACTGCTCCGAAAGACCAATTCCGCTACATCCTGCTACATTTCAATTATTCTGTGCCAAACGAGGTGTTTTATATTTAAAAAACTCGAAGTTGTTTCTATATGCAGTTGAATCTCATTAATTCGAACATGCTTAATTTGAACTTCCAGTTAATTCGAACTCACAATGAAGTCCCATCAAATCTATGTGTATTCCAATGGGCGAAAACACCTGTTAATACGAACCCGCAAGCACTAGCGACAGTTAATTTGAACATACCGGGCTCTGAAAATGCTCTCAGCACTCCGCCCAATCCCGCGGTGACACCTGCGACACCTCAATGCTGCGCGCGAAGGAAATGAAAAGGAAAAAAAAAGGCTGCGGTGGAGTGTTTGCTCTCTCTCGAATGCCGATCTGCGACGCGCCCAAGTCACGCTTCTCTCATTTCCGAGGCACTGCGCCGTGCTCCCAACCGGGCTGCAGAAATTAAGTGCCTTTTCTCTCTTCTAACCAATACCACCTCCACCGTTTTCCGTCTTTGCCACGTAAAGATACACTGATACACTGCTACACTTCTCCTTTCAACACCGTGCGCGAAGAGAGAGAAGAAAAAAAAAAGACAGCTGCCGCTGGGTTGAATTGATGTGTGGTTAAGGGGAAAAAAAAAGCTCTATCTTCTGTGGCCCTTGCCCTTTGCAGGAGCACAGCTCCGCCCCTTGAGGGAGGGGAGGGTCGCTCACGCGCCGGTGCCACACTTCTCTTTTTCTCATTCCTGCCACATAACCCTTCTCCTTTCAACGACGCGTGCGAAGAAAGCAAAAAGAAAAGGCTGCCGGGGAGTGTTGGTTTTCTCTAAAATGCCAATCTGCTTCTCTCCGCGTGGAGCCACTACTCCTTTCTCGTCACGTGCTGGCCATGCTGCGGCTGCGTAGCGGAGTTGTTTTCGTTGTCTTAAGAAAGCGTCGGCGCTGGACATTTCCGCGCGCAACTTCTCTTGCCAGGAGAATGCTGAAGCCGAAGTAGAAATGCTTTGCAAGCTGCATGCGAAATTGATTGACTCGCTGCAAGGAAATCGTGTGCAGACGTGCATCACCAATTACTTCAATTAATAACGGATGTCCTGTGATTCGTCAATAAATGTAAGTCTTCTGAAACTTCCCCCTCGTGTGTTAGCTGAATGCACATGCACCACTGCATGAAGAGCCCTCCGTTTATTTAGCTTTCATTAATTCGAACTTTCTTTTAATTCGAACAAATTTTCGGGCACCTTCCAGTTCGAATTATCGAGATTCGATTGTATATGTACCCTTTTTGTAATGTAACCACTGTGGAACGTTTTGTCTTTTCGGCACCAAACCGCACATTCGCAGCAACTAAAGATGAGGTGGTTAGGCGGTTAGGGCTTGTTAGCGCTAACCAGCGCACTTGCAACTTTTGCATTCTGCCCCAGGAAGTTTGCTCTAGACAACTTGAGATTGGGCGCAAAAGAATTGATGGTTGGGTGGAAAAGAAAACTTTACAAAAGAATTGGAAAACCACTTCTCTTAATATTTAGTATCAACATGATCAGTGTTCAAACATTTCTTACAATTGTGTCGTGAATCCCATGCTCTATGTAGTGCTCTGCTGTTGTCTTGAGATTTTTTTGTTGCTATCACTTGTGTAAATTGTTTTGCGAAGCAAGCGTCTTGCACTGTACGTTTTTCTTCTTGCATTGTTAGTCCTTTTGTGAATGCCTTGTCATTGTATTATTGTATTTGCCCCTCCTGCATGGGCCAGCATATTGGCCTGGAGTATCGATAAATAAATAAATAAATAGAAAATGGGGGGGCACTAGTCAGCTCAGCCGAGGGAACAGTGTGGAACCAAGCTTTGGCACGGTTTTACGGGAACAGCCGCAACAACTAAAGCCTGCCAAGCTTACAAGTCCTCCTCCTGGTGGGAAAGGTGAAGGATTGTATCACAAAGCCTTTTCTGGTGTGTGAAACGAAGAAAAACGTAAAAACGGATAAATGTGTAAATTTTGGAAAAAATACTTGCGTTTTTCGACTCGCATCTCCCCTAAAGTGACAGTCCATATACAGCACAGTCGAGCCCACATATAATGGCCCCACTTAAAACGAACTTTCGCTTAAAACGAACAATATCCGCGTGACCATCAAAATATACATTGGTTCAATGGCACAAAAACGCACTTACAACGAACGTCTCCGAGCGCTGCTGATCGGTTTCAGCAAACGGAGTCAGCGGTCTGCCGACTTCCCGGGAAACCAATTTCGACCACCGATCAGGCATCGGCGAGGTGCTCATACATTCTTATTCTGCTCATACATTCCGCGCCCCTCTAGTTGCCGCTCTCCCCAACCGCTTTTTGTTACGCACCCCTCCGTCCTTTGTCGTCCCCCCGCTACCCTGGGTACCCGCATCACCAGACGAGGCCCGTGTTTTCACACTGCCACCGATCTTTCGAAGACCGGTCGGCCATCTAACCTGTTTTTGATCGCTGGTACTGTTGTTGGCGTTGCCGGCCTAGAGTGACTAGACCATTTGCCAACATCGTCAGCCACCGACTGTATCCGATAGTCTGCGTCTAGTGCACGCGCGTACGCTACCCCACCGACTCTGATAATTTGCGATTAGTTTCGTGTTTAGGACTTGTTTTCGCTCACTTTGCACTCGGCTGAGCATGCCTTCCGCATGCGTGCGGAAGCATGAAAACGGCTGTTAATTTGTGCGGAATGAATCGCGAAATATCGAGGTTCGTGAGGCCATGCAAACCCGCCGGCGCAACGAAACGATTTTTTGACAATGGCCGCCGATTCTTCGAACACCGCCGCGCGCACTGATTCAAGCGGCCGTGCACTCTTTCCAAGTTTTTCTACGTGCGAGTTTCGCGGACCTTTCAAGCAAGCTACCCAACCTGCCTCATTCCCGTGTGTTTTGGTTTTCAAAGTCGCCGTCCCGCCGCATCCTCCCCTCTTTATCGCAACTCCTTGCCCTTCTCTCGCAAGTCTGCTCACCTCTCTTGATCACAACCCCTTCGCCCGTTTCCACCGCTCTGCGACGCCCGTCACGCTGGCTCGAATTAGTTTCGTTTTCTGACTGGAAACAGGCCTAGAGCTGTTCCACGCGCTCTGGCATGTGTGTCGCGTGTGCGCATGTTGCTTGCTCTTGGTGTGCGTGTGTGGTCATGATGGCCGACGGGAGGACTAGCACGCTTTTTCGTGCCGCTCAACAAAACACCGAAACTGTGACCGCTTGGCTTGAGCGTAATCAGCGCGTTAGGTGCCGCGTTGCGGAGCGCTTGCTCATAGCTGTTGACCACCTGGCAGCCAACTTGCCGCTTCGGGAATCCCTGTATTCAGCTGTAGAGATGGTGAATATTTCGTGGGCGGCGGTGACGACTACATGCGCACGAAACTGTTTTCGCGAGGCCGACTTCGTCAACGTCGGGACCGATGCCGAGCCTGAAGCTTCTTAACTGCGGCGTCGATTTGTGGCCACGCGTCGTCGACTCCGACCTGGGAGAGCGGGTGGGACATCTGTTGCGATGGTTTAATTACGGCCGATGATGATGCCGACACTGCAGAACCATGCACGGATTGGGGCATTGTGAATTAAGTACGTGGCGAGAGCGATCTGGAGGAATCGGATTGTGAGAACGACAAAACTTTGGAGCCAATGCCTCATGCAGCTTATGCCACGGGCCTCGGCGAACGAGCACCCTGCCGTTTTAAATGAACTCGAGATCGCCCTTATCACTTCTGCTCTTCGAAACATGTGCATCGCGGACTTTTTGGGGCAAAAAAAGTTTGTGTTTTCACTCGCAACTTTTTTTAAAAGCTGTGTTTCATTTACTACGAACTTCGGGATACAGCGAACAGATGCCGCGTCACGCTCAGTTTCGTTATAAGCGGGCTCGACTGTATAGACCGCTTATAATGTAAGTCGTGGGAGTCGCGAATAAACTTTACTGCATTATAACCAAAACAGCCTTTTTCAAGGGCCACACATGCACCATACATGTTGAGCATCGAGCCTCGCGTGTCTGAGAATCAAATCATGCAATGCATGGTGCCTACAAATTGTTTAAATTTTCAAGTGTAAAAAATAGTAACATCGAAAGATGCATTGGCAAAGAAGGGTGCTCTCAAAAGGGGGGGGGTCTAACAAAAAAAAGCACCATCACGTAAATTCGCCGACTACTTCAGAGACTGCTTCGATTATGCGCATTGCACAGACTATCTGGAATTATTTTCGGAATTTCACGCTGAAAGACGGCAATTGTTTGATTTCACGTTCACGCACTCGATTTCAATTGAATCGCAAACCACCATTCGAGCGCTACACGTGCCACTCTCGTTTTCATTAACGATATGAATCCCTTCCCGTCAAG